CGGTACCCCTTATATATCTACAGTATATAAATGTGTAATTTTAAATGCTACTACAGTAACTTGTAAATAAAATTTTTATTAGGTATTTCTTACCATTAAATAACATTTTTAGATGTAGTACTCATCATCATTACACCGGCCACTACGGCAAACATCATTATCACTGTCATTACTATAATCAAGGTAACTACAGTCACGCCAAAACGCGGTATTACATAGATGGCAAGTGTAGCCATGGGTGTCATCACCACCAGAATTGTCACAAACACCAGTATGTAATACACCAAAAAGTTGCCTTTCCCTTCATCACTATATATAGTAAGTTGACTTTCCCTCATAGGCCCAGGAATGGTAGGTTTTACGGGATGACAGGTGGGTTGGGTGACAAACAATACTTTCTTTGGTTTTGCATTTATGTCACAATCGATGCCATTGTCGGTCGTATTATTCACATGAAACGGGTTTACATTTTGCGGGGTATTATCCATAACTTGTGGTTTCAATTTGGTTGCCGTTGTGTCACACAATATATCTTTTATATTATATAAGTTTTACTATTTGAATGTTTTGCGATATAGACTATAAAATGTGTAGTATATATATATTATACCCTCCTAAACAGAGTTTGTTTATAAACTAAGTAAGGTTTGGTGTGTCTGTCTACCTGACCCACAATCTCCATTAGTTTTACTTGAAGTCCAGGTGCGAGCCTTTCATTCAGTTATGCAATGATGTCAAATATTTTCTGTTCTTAACCCTTGCAATCAATTATGATTATATTCATAACTAATAGTAAACAGTGTATTATATATCAAAGTTGATAATTCTTGTGAAAATCATTTTCGATGTGAACTGTAATTATAATTATTCTGTGCCGACAAACACCTCCTTTTGTACTGAACACAAGTTTTAAGCAATAAATTAATTTTGTCTTATATTTCAAGGAATCATATTTTTGTCTACTTTCTGAACAGTCTATTGTTAATGTGTCTGTCGGTCATTATTTTTATAGGATTAAAAGTTGCGATGATTTCTAAATGCTCTCTCTCTCTCTCTAACATTATTTTAAATGAATTGTTTCTTTAAGCTAATAGTGTGTTCGCAAACCAATCGATAAAACACTGAACACAACAAATTCAAAAACATTTAACACAATAGCTAATAGATATAATATGATAACTACACTGAGTAAAGTAACGAGCTTATTTAATTCAATAGCCATCCATTGATTATTTATCACAGGCGTTGTATTGTCAAAAATGTCCATATTCCATTTGTTAAATAAACCAGCATGATTAATGTTATTTAACCTATTAAATAAATAATTAAATTTAAATAAGTTTAACAAAATTTATCTAAATAAAATTAAAAACATACAGTTTATTTAGCTTGGACTTATACTCAGAATTCTTAGGTAATGCAATTGCAATCAAATCAATAATCAAGGATGTTTCATCATTATTAGCAGGTAAATAATAATATGCATCGTTAACAGATAGTTTGTTAAGCAAATATTGTAATATTGCCCTGCTAAATATATAGGAATAAGTGCCATTAGTATATTTGTCGGAATTAACTTGTAGAAATTTCAATTCTGAAAGTATCATGTTGTTTTTAATTCCGCTTGGTACCCCAGAGTTATCAGTCTGTAAAGTAATATTTTATAAATGTTATTTTTACAAATGTTATTTTTAAAATACAATATATTTAAAAATTCTACTAGCTGTTAGCTGTTTACCATTAACTGATTGCAATATCCAGAGTATTTATAGCAAATAATCTTTAAATGACCATGCTCAACACCGCGTGAAATAGCTTGTAACGTATCATATTTTATTTCAATAGGTATAGTGATTATGGTGTAAACGCACCCCGCGTAGCATACCGCTAATATAAAGCATGTTAACATCCATACACCCAAGGTAAATTTAATCATATTTAGCTTTATAAATTTTATATTAACACTTTGATTAAATAGAATGGCAATTATTTTCCAACTAAAGTTATATTGACTATGCCATTTTATGAGTTTAACAATCATGGGTAAAGTAATAAGTGATAATATTATAAGCATCCAGATGTAGTTATCAAATACGTGTAATAAGTTTGCAAATCGTTTGTATCGAGGCAATGGCGAAGTAAATGTGACCGAGTCCACTAAATACGGGTACGTGAAATCAACAACTTGGGCCCTGTCCCATGTCATACTAATGCCAGCGATACCAAGGTCAGCTTTCTGGTATAAATTAAATGTATCATAAAATTTATCTATTATTATAACTATGTGTAGGGCGGAGAATACATTGCTTTGTAATTGCTCGATAATCCCGGTCCAATTTTGATTATCACGATATATATGGCTCCAAATTCGTTGACAATAAATAACATCATAAGAAATATTGTAAATGTGTTGAAATGCATTCATTATATGAAATTCAAAGCCATTAATGAGTTTAAGTTTATTACTTTGTGTATCATTCACTAATTGTGTAAATGGCCCAGCCTGTTTTGCAAACATTTTAATTTATGAGAGACTTTAAAACTTAACTTACATTTCAACTCCGCTTTCATATGACAACATAGTAGTGTTTAACACATTTATTGCCACATTAATTAAAACAGTTTTGAAAGGTATGCTAAGTTTTAACGTTTCTCATTAATTAAAATCTTTACAAAATAAATTTATATTGATTAATTATAAAGACTTACATTTTTCGATGCTATAATCAATTTGGAATTTGAAATCATGTTCTATGAATTATTTTTTATATAATTAACTGAGTAAATTTTAAAATTAAACAATATTTATTACCCTAAACACAATAATAATAAAAATTATTTAAATCTGATTTAATAAAAATATTACAGTATCATGTTAAATAATATGAACAATAGTAGTGTATTAGCTGTAGTATCAAGAATGTTATAATTTAATAAAAATTTAATTAGATGTATAAATATAATGGTAATATTTTTAAAAATAATAGCAATGTAAAAATATGTTAAACATTACTCAAGGAATATTACTACTACTATACTTATTAAATTACTTATTATTATGACAAAATAGTTTTTTAATTAAGGGCTATTACATAATTAAGGGCTATTACATAAATAAGAGCTACAAACATATAAAAATAAATATTTGACTAAATATTATGAATAAATAACAAATAAATGACATTTAAAAAAGTATATAATGATTTATTGTTAAATTTATTGCATTGAAGTTATAAATATAGTATTACTATGGAAACATATAAAAATCTTTATCATTGTTAATATTTTATTCTAATAAACAATTATACTGTATGTTGTTTGATTATTAATTTAAAAAAGTATTAAAGTAAAAACTATTCATACATATTATCAATCAAATCAATTCCCCAATTAATAGCGAAGGCACCAGGGTATGGGAAAATGTTTTAATAACAAGTCACATCTAAATCAAATCAAATATATTATTCAAATTATCCATAAGCCCACAAGCACATTCACTAAATAAAACAATGAAATATTCATTTTATAATATATTTTATCTGATTTAGATGTGATTTGTTATTAAAAACATTTTCCGATACCCTGGTGCCTTCTGTATTCATTGATTATTGAGTTGTTTGTTAAGTGAGTGAATTGAGTATTTTTGCCTTTCAAAAAGTCGCTAATAACTAAAATGCAATAGTAGCAGAGTGATACTCATGCTAAATCCAATCATTATTACTATATTAATCCGATATAATAACCAGCTACATGGCTACATGTTATGAGGCAGGTTATTTATATGTGCATGCACATTAGTTTCAAATAGATAGCATAAATTTATACATTTGGAGCACTTTTAAGCCTATATTTACATCCTTTTCCACATCCTTGAGCTCATCACTGAGTGACTGGTACTCGGAGGCCATGGCCGACCCCACACGCGCCGCCCTAATGAACTCCTTTTTCATTTGTCGGGCCTTCAGACGAGCCACTCGTAAGGCATTCTTCTTTAAAACCATACCTTTTATGAGTCGATTACGTTTCGACAGCCTTTCCCTTTGCCTATCCATCTCTGCCATTAATAGGGACTTATTATTATTGTCAATCGACTTCATCGGCTGTCCATTAATGGGTTCGGTATTCATGACAGACCGGAGCCGTGCCTGTCGTATGAAATCATGCAACCCCTTGGGAACTGTATGTGTAGGTGCGCTGTGATTCACACCCCGTCCCCCTCATCATCGGTCGAGTCGTCGCCAAAATGTATGATGAACTTTGCGATGGGTTTAGGCGGCGATTGATCTATAGGTGCCGTTCCTGTGTTCCTAATACATGTGTTGACCTTGATGTTATGAACTTAGAAAACATGTTGTTTTGATGTGATTTTCCAATATCATTATTGATTTACCAAGACCATACACCAATACATTTGACGTCTACAACACTACCATTATTACTGTATAAAATAGATTTACAAAAATTAAATCCAATTCTAGGCTCTGATTTAACTGTCAAATTTTAGTGCCCTGACACTACCATTCAAATTATTTTCCAGGCTTAAACCCTTTATAAATAGTTTATTTAATTGAATATAAATATTATTATAATTATTAAAATAAATCAAGGTTTGATTGTCCCTTATGTAATAAAAATAGCAAATAACACAATGCACTAATAACTAGTGATAATAATGCACAATAGTTATCTCTACAATTATTGTATAACGATACAAATGGTATATACAGGGTATATACCGTACAAATAGATAGGAATTGTAGACAAATGTGTCGATTCTCACGATAAATGGAAAAATTATTGACAAAATTCGAAACAATTATCGGTATATAAACTGCTTATTAGTATTGATTTGAGATATAAAAACAAAATTGTTTTTCAAGTCTAGTTATATATTTAGTGACTGTGTATCACATAATGAATACACGTATTCACGAATTGATATTCATTTTCGGTTTAATTAGCGTTAGTTTCGCTGATTATCTGTCATTAGATGGCAATCAATGGACGACTGTTTGTTAGAATAAATGTGAGTTTTGATGAATATTCTGTAATAAACACCAATTCATATCATTTACTTTGTTTTATTCACTTTAATAGCCATCACATCCAAGGCTACAGTTCCCGGAACTATATATACCGACCTTAGGAATAATGGTCACCTCTCGGAGGAACTGCTCGCCGGCTATAATGACGTGAATTACCGGTGGGTCTCACGAGACAACTGGACGTATAGCCGAGAATTTGAAGGTATTTTTTGTCAGACAATCTGTTCTAACAGTTGTTAAAAATATTTTAAAAATGTCTTTTCAATTGTCTATTCAATGGACAGTCGACGCGAAACTACTGACCAAACAAGTGGTGAATCTGGTGGCTGAAGGGATGGACACTGTGTCCGCCATTTATATCAACGACCAACTCGTCGGTCGTACTGTCAATCAGTTCGTGAGGTATAGGTTTGACGCGAAGAAAGTCCTCAAAAGCGGCAAAAACACGATTCGCGTGGCGTTTGAGTCGGCGCTCACCTACTCTAGCCGTCAGTCGCAATGGTTTATCAATAAATACCACTACGATATCATACCCGGTATTTAGGACTAGTAGTCGGTATTGTGTAGAATATTCTTTAATTACACGGAATTCCCTTAAACAGAGTGTATGGCTAAGGAATATCACGGCGAGTGTCACTACAATATGATCCGCAAAATGGCCGCATCTTTCAGCTGGGATTGGGTCCGTAAAATGACATACCTGTCCACTCACTATACCACACATACCGTTCCCTAACCTAACCAATTAACTCAATCATAAAGGGACCGGCATTTCCCACTCAAGGCATTTGGAAACCCATCAGAATTGAAGCGTACGATAAGGCCATCATTAGAGACATTACAGTCGAGACGACACGTGATAAGGGGAACGCCTCCCAGTGGGCCCTCAACATGGCTGTTTTCCCACTCAAGGCATTTGGAAACCCATCGGAATTGAAGGGTACGATAAGGCCATCATTAGAGACATTACTGTCGAGACGATACGTGATAAGGGGAACGCCTCCAAGTGGGCTCTCAACATGGCTGTCCACATAGAGTCGGATACGCGCCAGAAGTTTGACACCAATCTGTCGGTCTATTTGGACGATCACGAGCTGATCGCCGGTCGCGCCTACACTCTAACGCCGGCCACCGATGGCAGCGCTCGCATTAAACTCATAATACCGGTGACGGGAGTGGACATCACGGCCTGGTATCCCAACGGTGTGGCACAGAATACGCAGAAATTGTACGCATTGAGAGCTAAGCTGGAGTTCCCGGACAGTAAGGAGGTGTCGGAGCAGAGCCGACGGTTTGGGTTCCGGACTATTGAGTTGATTCAGACGCCGGTGCAGCCGAAAGGGTTGACCTTTTATTTTCAGGTGAATGGACAGCCGTTTTTCGCGAAGGGAACCAATTGGATACCTGCCGACAACCTCCAGGAGCGCGTATCCAAGGAGTACTTGCGTGAGCTAATGGAGTCAGCCAGGGATGCCAACATGAATATGATGCGCGTGTGGGGCGGAGGAGTGTATGAGTCGGACTACCTGTACGAGTTGGCCGACGAGTTGGGTGTCATGATATGGCAGGACTTCATGTTCGCCTGTTCCCTATACCCGGCCGACCCGGACTTCTTGGCCACTGTGGACCAGGAGGTGTTGACGCAGATTCGACGCCTACAGCACCACCCGTCCATCGCTCTGTGGGCCGGTATGTGTTCAACCATTTACTATACGTGTGATCAGAATATAGGGTTTACTACTGATGAACACTCCATAAGTTATACGAGTGTATGATTGATGATAGCATAATAGCACCGGTAATCTGACGAATAGCACCGGTATCTAATCACTTACCATTCAATGGCAGGCAATAACGAGAACGAGGGTTGGGTACGGAATGGCAAAAAGGAGGACTTCCAGCACCATAAGGACGACTACATTGAGCTCTACATCAAACACATACGTAAACTGATCCTCGAGGAAGACAGTAGTCGACCGTTTGTGGGTTCGAGTCCGTCGAATGGGGACGAGGAGGTCCAGGAGGACTGGGTGTCCGACCACTCGGGCGACACCCGCTATGGGGACGTCCACTACTACACGTACGACAAACCGCTGTGGAATTGGCGACAATACCCGAGCGGGAAGTTTGCCTCCGAGTATGGCTACCAGTCGTACCCGTCGGTCGAGACGCTACTAACGGCGCTCAACGAGTCGGACCTGACGTTCCCGATTGGCGACGCTCTGGAGCACCGGCAGCACCACCCGGGCGGCACCAAATCCATTGAAAACGCCATCGGTATTAACTGCTTTGTTTAGATATAGGGGCCGTTCAATAGTTTGATGTATTGGTTACGTGTTTATTGAATGGACCCTTACATTTGGTGTCCATTTGTGTGATGCATTGCGTGTATTATTGCGTGTATTTATAGGCAATTACTTCAAACTTCCCTCACATGGAGGGGTCGACCGGTTGGAGGACTTGATATACTTATCGCAAGTGATTCAAGCGATGGCTATGAAAGTGGAGACAGAGTTCTANCACTCACTCATAAACTTTCCTATTTTCGATATGACTTACAATAAATAGATTTATATTTTAATATTTAGTCTAAGAATTAGACAACAATTTTGTATATATTTGATGTCTTAATGACAGGTAGTGTTAGTTCGCGACGACTTCGGCGATAAACAAACGTTTGATCTCTTCCTAAGTGTCTACAACTGGACGTCACTTAAACCCACGGAAGAGCTCCAGGCGCTGGTCTTAAGTGAAAAGGGATTCTCAGTGGAGACCGTATGGGACGACTACATACCAGATCTGCTCAAGAAGTTCAAGTGCGAGGATAGGACTCAGTGTGTCATACGAGTAGAGATACCAAAGTTCAGGGTATGTCTTATGAATGCTATTTATAATTGTTTAATTAGTTACTTGAATGTTGTTATAATGAATCCCTTATATAGTGAACTGTTTTTTGTTATTAAAAGTAATTTTAATGCTTTTAAAAGTAATTTTTAATGTAAATAATTTCAGGTATAATGTGTGTCCCATTGAGTCCGTTATATATTGAATGACATTTAGAGTGTATTTGTGTTTTAAAACATTAAGAATCTTATTAAGAATTTGAATGCCATTCCCCTTTGCATACAGGCGTCGAGTTTCCTATTGCTAACGGAGCCGAAGAACTCGAAAATAGTGAATCCGAACCTGAAGTTAGTTTCGGTACAAAAGAGAGACAAACCGGTGGACAATAAGCACGTGTTTGACATAACCCTGAGCGCGGAAGCGGTGGCGCCTTTCGTGGCCATGGATTTCAAACGGAATTCCGGAATTCGCGGGCATTTCCTCGAAAACGGATTCTTTATCTTTGATCACCAAAAGACCATCACTTTTGTCACCAAATCTAATGTCACGGAACAGCAGATTAGCGATAATCTCACGTTTAAGACGGTGGCGGATGTGGTGTGAGTTTGCACTACCGGTGCCTTATATACAGTATTCGTTAAAATGTTAAAAAATAAATTAATTCCTTAAAATTCAAATAGTTTTTTATATCTGAATTTGCACAACATTTAAAATTTTGTCAATTATGATAAATAATTTCAATAAGTTTTTTTCATAATACATGTTGTCTTACAATGTTTTAATTTAGGTAATATATATTACTTATTGTTTCGACTCAAAACAATTAGTAAATTGAATAAGGATATTAAAATAAAATAATTCAAAGTAAAAATAAAATCTTACAAATTCTTTACTCTAAATTTCTAAATTATTTATAGAAGCATGGTTAATAAATTGCAAATTATTTACTAAATAATTCAGTAAATTTGTAATTTTGATACAATCATTATTATTCTATAATTTTTAGTCTAAGTCTAAATAAAGTCTTTTAAGTCAAAATAAATAATTTTCTACGAAATAAATATATTTTAATATAATAAAAATAAAAATCTTTCAACATTAATTAATAAAGTATATTATTAATCACATGGAGTTACAACTAAAATTAGCTTGCTATTTATCAAAAGAAAATAATTTATATTTAACCGTATATATTATATATTATTATATTATATACTATATAATATTGAAATTTTGTAAGTACAAAAAATATTAATTTTAAATTACATTAAATGAACATCAAAAACGCGTACATTTTAAGCGTGAATTCAAATGCACTCAAAACCAATGTAATAAAGTATTTGATAGTAAGCATGGATTACGAGAGCATATAATTAACATTTTGACGGAAAGTATCAGTATATTGAATGTCCGGAAAATAACAGTGACTATATTTCCGCAAATAATCGTAATCTGAGCAAACATTTGAAAAATCTTTTAAAAATCTTTATTTTATTTAATTAAATATATTTTTGTATAAATCATGTGAATTTTATTTGTATTAAAGCTTATTCCCAGATTCCAGGGCTGTTTAATATCCAGGATTACTGTACCTGTACATTTATAATACACGAGTGAAAGGTTTGGATTAAGAATTAATGCCAACAAAAGTCAAGCATTTTTGAAAATAACAGGTTGTTAAACATACCATGTTTTCATATTAAGGGTAATACTGTATTTAGAAATTAATGATCAGTATTTTGTGAGCCCAGTGTTTCAACACATTTTAATCATGAATCATGTGCTTTATTTAAATAATTTCCCTTTATTATAATTAAATTGTATGTTAATTATTTGGTAATTGTTGTATAATTTGTGTTTTGATATACTGTATTACCCAAATTATTAAAGACAAAACATGAATATGAAAATTAATAATAATCTGAATTTATTGGCAAAACTGTTTGCAATTAATAACAGTTTAAATAATGTTAATAGGATTGCGAATGAAAATTCAAAACCTATTATAGAAAATGATGACAATTATTGTAACGTTAATAATAATCAAATTGATATTAATAGTTATAAAATGTGTAAAATTAATTTATTAGATGACAAACTTATTAATAATAATAAATCTGATTGTGTTGTGGACACCAATGCTAACCATATTAACAATGATGTGCTATTTAAGTGTACATTTAAAAACTGTGACAAACGATATTCACTTAAAGGCAATTTGAAACACCATATTAAGGCAAAACACGGCAAAATTAGGCGATATGTTTGCAAATATCCTAATTGTGGTAAAAGCTTTAACAGTAAATACACTTTAATTGGTCACAAAAATGTGGTTCATTTAAATAAATGCAAATTTGTCTGCGATTACAATACATGCGGTAAAGGATTTTCAAACAAATCGGCACTCGATAGCCATAAAAGGGTTCATACGGGCGAAAAACCTTA